ACAGTGGCCCCCGCCTAACAGACGTCCCGTGTAAGGGATTTTCGCCGTACAGACAAGCTCTGCAAGCAGTTTTTCCTCCCACCCAACAGACAAAATCCACCAAACAGACTTCTTTTGGTTTAAAATTAGTGTTGAAAATTGAAATTTTCCATTTTTATGTAATTAAATTTGTGTAAAGNGACTTCTTTTGGTTTAAAATTAGTGTTGAAAATTGAAATTTTCCATTTTTATGTAATTAAATTTGTGTAAAGGACTTTTTGTCTAACAGACTCGTCCCTTGCACGAATCAAGTCCGTTAGAGGGGGGTTGACTGTACTGCTGATCCGAAAGATGGAGGAGAGGGGCAGACATTTTTGGGTATACATTCATATCAACTGAAGTTTGTAAGCTAACTTCAGCTGATGATGATAATGCTCAATGATCATGCTTGTTAATGATAAATGCTCAAATGAATAATTAAGCATCCAATACTGAACCCTTGGTCAACAGAAGGTTCTTTCTTTTTGCACATCAGATTCCACATTTATTTGGGGGGGGGGTGGTGGTGCATTTCAGTTTGACCAAAAGTCACTGAAATCTGTGCAATGCACCCAGATTGAGAAGGTATAAGTTTGTAAAATCCCAGAGGAAAATTTTCTATAGTTTTCAGGATTTCCCATGCAAATTGTAAACCAGGAATGCAGGAAAAATGCTACCCAGTGAGGGATTCTTTCATTCAATAGTTTTGGCAGGATTAGAAAAAATGGACCTCCCCCAATAACTTAGGCCTCGGTGAAAATGAAAACAAATGTTTTGTGCTGAGTGGCACAAACTTTTTCAAAATCTTTTACATTTGTTGCACAAGGATTAAGAAGAATATGCATACAGTAAAATTGCATTGTAAATGTTTAAAGGTGTATGGTGAATTTTGAATTATGCGTGATGTAATTTGTTTTCTGTTTTATTATCATAGAAAAGGCACTGGTTGCTTTATTTGGTTCGTCGATTGCCATCAAGTTCACCCCTCTGCAAAGACTGGCCTCCGTGTCCCAGAAGGTTTACTGAGGCATCAATTCTGCTGAGAAAGCTTCATCACAAATGGAGGGTAATTATCTGGATTATTTTCAAATTATTATTGAGAGCCTTTCTTATTATTGTATTGATTGGTCACTTGTATATAATTATCAGTGTCATACGTATCGGATGAGGTTCGACCAGACAGCAAGGAATCGGATGCGAGAGAAGGTGACTGCAAGCATTATTTTCAAAGACAGGAAGGCCTCTTATTCCAGAAGGTATGGTTGAGTGAAGGATTGAATTTGATTTCAATAGCATAAGAGTATATCGATTCCATAATTAGACATTCGACCCATTATTTATAGGCAATACTGATAATAAATAGGCTGGCTCTAATCCAAGTCTGAACATCTTGCGCACATTTATAATATCAACTGTGGAGTTATGATATGAGAGCAGTTACATTTTAATTGGACATCATTGAGTCCGTTTTTTCAGTCTAGAACTCTAAAATCAAATGCAGTACTGTACTGCTAGTACGGTATGGTGACTTTTTTTTTTTTTACAATGATAAGATCACTTCAAGCCACCATGAATAATATTGCGTCACTTTCTTTTCGAGTTGAAACATGTTTTCAATTCGGATCACATCAAGGGATGGCAGAAATATACTGTTGAATTGTTTTGAGAAAGTTTGTACTGTACAGTACCTCGATTGGAAAACATCGAATCCAGTTATTTCAATCGAGAATGAAAGCTTATAAAAAGTTGGAATGATTTAGGAGCGCCTGCTGTGAACATCGATTGGTTATTTGAAATGATACGATCGGAATTTTTAGAAAGGAAACCGACGATATTCAATAACAAGTGTGCAATTATATAGGAAATAACCCTTTTTCTAATTTTTTTTACCAGCATTGGTCATCCTTTTCTCGGAGACTATGTGAGGCTGAGGCAAAATGTGCAGTGGAAGAAAATGTGCGCTGAAACCGGTGACCAGTATGTGGTATTTGCAGATATAATCAACAAAATCAACCGATCTTCTGGCAGAGTAAGAGATTTTTCTATATCCCATCATGTTGACACTTTTCCCTGCAATCTCACAACTTTCAGTTTTCTAAATACCGTCCAGTGCAGAAATTCGCAAACGTTCTACGAAGAAATTGTACAGATTTTATCGGTGATTTTCATAGGTCTTTCTTTCATAGTTTGTACCGGTGCTGTTTGTGGTTTCTACAAGTGCCATGCTGATCTTGGACCAGAGAACAATGCAGATCAAGTACAGGGTGCCAGCTACTGACATCTACAGGCTGTCTTTGTCCCCATTTTTTGATGACATTGCCATTGTGCATGTCAAAGTGGTAAGTGCGGGATTATAACTAGCTTTCACAGGTAACAAAAATACTCTTACTGCCAGAAAAAAACGTTCCATGCATGACAAAATCACTCACATTGTGTCATACCAAAACACATGCGTCATTCAATATTCAGCCTTTAAAAGTCATAAATTGAAGATAAAGGTGTTTTCTAAAGTACTTGGGAAGTAAAAGTTGATCTAACAAAAGGATCTTAGGATGTTAACTTTTACACCCATACTTTTTCTTTTGTTACAAGAATGTGGAAAACCTGCAGCCATGAAGTGCTCAAGATTCTCATGGAGCAATGAATTGAAGAATCCTATAGATTCATCCTAATGCATGAAAAAATTCCATTCTTCAAAGTTAGTTACTTCTTACTGCAATTATCCCCACCTTCCAATGATGGTACAGTCAAACCTAAGTGAAATTTCAAGGGACCAGCAGAAAATTTGACTGTGGGAGATTTGACTACTAGGAAGGTTTTGAGTTGGGAAAGCAAGCATTTTTGTTGCCAGAAAACTTGAAAGAATTACAGGAAATTTTATATGAGGATATTCCATGTGTTAATTCGATTCTCAATCACTGTGTACAGAAGTTGGGCCATTTTTGCAAAATATTGTGCCCATGAGCACTGGAACTTTTAAAAATATGGATTTTTCAACCAAGGCTTAAGTTGAGAAGAAGTCCAATATTTTTTTCGAAATCTGAAGCCAAAATTGCCTGAAAAAAGATTGCTCACTGTGTAGTGTTTTTTTCCCCCATGAATTCCTAGCATAGGACTAACATATTGGAGAATTTTGAAAGCAGAAGGATTCACCCTTCCTGGGTTTTTCCAACTCAGGTCTTCCCACCTTGAAAACATTTCAGGAACCTTTTGTCAAACTAAAATGTATTGCTTCTCTCTTTTATATTTCAAGAAAATAATAACCAAGGGGTCTCAGAAAATTCAAATTTTAGGGAGGTTTTAGAGCGAAACACTTGAGAAAGTCAGAAAGGGTTCAATGCATTTTTTTTTCTAAGGGAATTAAGACAGGGACTTGAAATGAAGATCATGCAGTACAAGCAATTCAACAGGGTTGGTTTTTAAAGAAGGGGTAGGTTTTTCAAGAAAAATGCAAGATAATTTGGAATTAGAAATTTGTAATCTCCTGCTGGGAAGCAATCGAAAAAACACTGGCATAAAGTCAATGGAATGTAGCAAATGGTCCCAAGAAGTAAATAAATACTGTATATACCGTATCTTCATGTTTGTTTTTTTTACTTGTGAACCCCCGAGAGAAACTCTAATCATTTTAGCGCGGTATCACAGGTAAACTTAGTGTTGAGGAGCATATTCGAGTCACCAATAATTTGGGCGGGTGGCATTTCCGGAGAGATTCCAACGTTTTTATCATTAGGGAAAATTGTTTTTCAAAAATAAATTGGCGGTTGGTGCTGAAGTGACGAGGGCATTGGAATCTTTTTGTGGGGACTCTTCGAGAGTTTTTCAACATTCAACAAAGACAGTGGATATACTGTATTTCTTTTTTTCTTTTTTTAGTCGAGTCCGACGTCAGAAAACTCTGCGAGCCAGCACATGACTTCAACGACAGTGAATCCACCGCCGAATGTAGCTGGAATGACCAGTGGATGTTTGTTCCAGCCAGACATCAGTCGCAGGAAGGGCGACTTCATTTTTCAGACTGGACACGTCATTGAGATCATCACCAAGTTGTTTCTTGTGATACAAAATGCCACTGGGAAGCCACCGGAAGTCAAGCACAAATTTGGACATTTTTCGATTATGAAGTATAGCTAATTTTCTTAAGTGTACATTTTATTATATTTTGGTGATTACAGAAAGCGCGATTTGTTCAAGAGATATCGAAATTTTTAAAAGTAAGACGTTTGCAATTTTTTTTCAATTTTCGCGAGTGTTCATGGAAATTTTCTGCCTCAGGATGGAGAGGCAGATTTGTCAAGTTGTCATTGGTTACCAAGTCTTCATGTCGGTGCGTCCGCATGTCGGGGCCTCAATGTATAAAGTTATATCATGGGTCCTTAACGCGTTACAAGCTTGAATAAGTGGTTGGACTGTGCATAAAAACTTGAGGGTTGATAGATTTGCTGTAGGGAAAGAAACAGTTGATGAATTGGAATCATTCGAAAACACTGTGCTTTATTTTTATTCGCAGGTTCGAAGCCAACTTCTCGTCACATTCGGTGCTATTCACGTTCAGAGCAACTGGACATCAGCAAGACCTGCTTCCGGGCCAAGTGAAGATCTCGAAGAAAGGTCACAGAATGGAGATTGTTTTATGAGGACGTGTTTGTTTAGCAGCAGCATCAGTCCTTCAACTTTTGGGACCCACTTTTGCTTCTTTTTTTGGTAAAAAAGAAGAAGAAGAATGTAGGTTAGATAACGAGTTGACGAGGAGGGTTTTACCGGGTACAATCAAGTGCCGTGTGTCTTTTTGGGGGAAATTAAAAACAAAACAAAAAAGAGAAGGCGGTATGTGTTCTGTTGGACAATTTGTTGTTGGAGCCAGCCCAAAACTGCCACTCGCCAATTTGTTGCGACGTGTTTTAATTTATGGAGCATATCTTTCTTTCAAATGCTTTTTCGGGATGACGAGGAAAAGATCATTTTTATCATCCATCCACCTATACCTTTGCCGGAAGAAAAGAACTCGTCGAGAAAAGTGTCTCCATTCCATTGCCGTTTCCCTGGATTTCCATTTCTTTCTGTTTAACTTTGAAAAATAAATTTCGAATCAACGACATGAAATTCCTTAACCTGTGGTCTGCGGAGTACCGGCGGAAGTTTGCAAATAATTTTCTCTAGACCGTGGGAAATTTTCTTCAGCAGAATATATTGATTAAAAGTAGGAATGAAATCTGTTATTTTTAGATGAAATTTCAGAATTGTGATGACAGTTGAAGGTATATGTTTTAAAAAAAGTTTCTTCTCTCCTATAATAACATTTCAGACACATTTTTCCATTGCTGAAAAAAGTATTTCAATTTTTCTTCCTGAGAAACCTTTCTTCAAACACACCTTTTCAAAAAAAAAATTTTGACATTCCACTATTACAGCTTCATCGGTTCTTGTCCTAATTTTTTTGCAGAAACTGTTCAAATCCCTGACTTAAGGTCTTTAAAAAAAATGTTTTGATCTGGCAAACATTTTATGAAACTTTGCTGGTCTGCAGTCTGCTTTCTGCTGGTCTGCAGAAAATTCTATGGAAATTTGCCTATTCATAAGAAAAATTTTGGGACTTTGACAGTCCACAAAATATTATGAAAATTTTGTGCCAAGAAAGGTTGAGTAACACTGATATAGATATTCTGTAGTACGTGAAAAGCCTAAGTACAGTCAAACCCTGCACAAAGGACCCAATTTGTGCAACAGACTAGTCTGTTGTGTGAAAGTCTGTTATGCAATTTCAATTAGTGAAAAATTAAATTGTTCACTTGTTACCATAAATTTTAAACCAACAGAAGTCGGTTGGGCAGATTTAGTCCATTGTGTTTCCTGATGAGGCAGCCTTTTGTGCAAAAATCCATTGCGCAGGAGGTCTGTTGTGCGGGGGTTGACTGAATTGTTTAAATAAATTTCCTGGTCCTTTAATAGCGACCTTTCAATAATTAAAATGTTTTTAATGTCTATATGGATGGTTTCACCATTATCCGCTACATTTAAAAGCGATTTGATTCTTCGATTTTCCCCCCTGTTTTTCGAAAATGGAAAACTTGGGTTACAAACGGATTATTTAAAGACTATGATGGAGACACTTTAGAATAAACGGGGGTAGGTGTTCGATCTGTGATGGACAATGTTTCGAGGAACTGTTGCAATAATATTCTCCTTGTTCGGGAATTTGAATCCAAAATCGGTGGTTTTTTCGCGTGTACTATTTCTGAAAATGGTTAGTTGAGATTTTGCGCACCCCATTTTGGCGCAGAACGTGAAAGAGGACCGTTTTCACTTGTTGGTTCTTCAAAAGAATACCTTGGAACGACCAAAAATTGCAAAGCAAAAATTTTGAGGGCGATTTATTGTTACTGAAGCTCTCGACAAGAAATGCGCGTATTTTTCGTATGATTTTAGCAGGCGCATTATGAGTTTTACCTGCTTTCCATTCCTTGATGGCCGCTGCCATGTTGGGATCAAGCTTGCGCCTTGATTTCTTTTGTACACATAAAAAAAACATTCTTTTCAGTTTACCTACCTCTTTATGAATGCGAAATTAGCTTAAAATTTTAAATTAAACGGAGAAAAGCAGGATTGAACTAATTTTTTTCCCTTGACTGTATAGTTTTCAGGCAGCATTTTTTTCATATTTCCCAGCGATTAGTGTTCGTGAAAAAGAAAAAAAAGATCAAAACTGTTTCAGCTGAAAATTCATTCAGTTTACCGTTTGAAAACTGAAGTTGTGTTTTTTATATCCTGCTTAAATCGACTTTATTGTCGGACTGAATGAAAATAGTATATTTTCGCATTGGGATAAATTAAAATGTTGGTCAATCATCGGACACTGTAATCCGAATTTTTGGAGCACCAAAATGGATTTTTTTCTTTTTTGTTTTGTGAATCGAAGCGCAGGAAAAAAAATCACCTCCAACAGCGGAAAAGCAATGGATTATTTGAAGAAGAAAAGTTTGTTGCATTTTGTGACTGGAAGTGAATAAAGGATGGGGGAGTTTCCCTTTTGAACAGCAAGCTTTCAATAATTCTTCATGTATTTTTTGGGCTTTCGCAGTTTGATGGAGGACAATTCCTAGCACTATATCACTGTTAGAGGTACAGTATGTGTGATACCAAACTATGCCTTTCTTAAAATTCTCTGAAAAAAGCCTCAATTTCCAGCAATTTTCTACACATCATCACGAACATGTTTTCTTGTTGTCCCTCAGTTATTCGAGGTGTGTCGAAAATGACGAAACATGATTCTTCCATATCTTCATTCTTTATTCCTCTGCCTTCAATTTCCAAGCAGACAGTGAAAGTACAGGATGTTCAACGTTGATTAATCAGGTGATGAGGTTTTTTTCGTAATTGTTTTAACGCCATAGGAACTTCGGTTGAAAACGAAAAGAAACTCAAGCTACTGGAAGAAAACTCTTGAGAGGAATTTGAAATCAAAAAACTTCAACTTGAAAACATCATTTTCAGATGTTATGACCATTTTGAAGCCTGGTAATTTTTCTTTGTAGTATTTGGCAAATCAAAAACTGCGACAGAAGGTAAAAGGAAGGTGTCCAGTTGAACTCTTCGCCAAACTTCAGCTCGCTCTTCTTTTCTTCTTCTTCTTGCTGGCGATTCAGTCTTCATTCTCCATGAAACTCTGGTCCATTTCGATGCTGGTGTCCTGATTCTAAAAATAAACAAAATTCCTTTTTTATCAAGGAAGTTGAGATCCAATGAAGTCCTAAAAAATAATGAGACAATCCATTATATGAAGTCAGGGATTTAAATCAGACACTTTTTTAGGAAGAGGTCATGGGTCCATCGGATCCCAGGCAAAGGAATTGAATTGTGCAGACATCAGAATGCAAGTTTTTAAAAATGACTATGAATATTTTCAGAGGAGTTCATTCTCATTGCCCAGATCATAATTTGGCTGTTAGTAAAATGTTTGATTGGAATGGCGGAGTCAATGGCAAGAATGGGTTGTTGCTTAGCTCATCAGAAGAATGAATAAGGTGAATTAAGGTGAAAGGGCCTTCAACACTAGATTCTTACTTCTCCTCTGAAAGAGGAATGGGAGCTTTTATACCAATAGGTGCTCAGACTGGGTCAGAAAAAAATCAGGGGATTTATTCCTTGCTCAGGAATTGGCCAGGCCAATTCAGGAAAAAAAAAAGTGATGACCCCTTCCTAATGACTCCCTGAGGCTCAGTGAGTCTAGTTAAAATTAGATTTCAGTGAGGCTCACTGGCCTCAAGATGAATCAAGTTTTCTAGGCCATTTGAGGCCAGATGCGGCAGCTATGCTGCTTTGGGATGTGACAGAAGAGTCAAGTTATTTTTGTTGCAATTTTCTATGTGAAATGACATTCATTAACATGGTTTATTTTATCATTTGTGTAATTTGGTTTTCAACGGAAATGAAAAAAACAATGGGTACTTGTTAGAACAAAATTTGATCTGTATCTTCTTTTGGATCCAATTAACTCCATCATGGTATGTCAGTTTAAGCGGCCAGCTTTTTTATTTCTTTCCAAGCTAATATTTACAAGGTGTACATTATTCAATGATGAACTCAGAGGCTTTTAAATACAAAGACTATTAAATCATGACTCAGTAATCAAAATGCACACTAGTGATAATATGCAAAGCAATATTTTAGGAAGATGCAATAGTAGTCATAAATCAGCAGTCATTCAATTCCATTGTACTGTATTCCAGTCCAATATTTTGTTTGCACCTTCTGAATTTTTGCTGCCACTTGCAAGTGAAACTCCAATTTCTCAATCCATTTTTCTCCTGCTCAACATGTTTATTAGAGTCCTTTTTATTATTAACCTAAAACTTTTTAGATTACCTGACTGGTGCTTGCAGCAGCAGCAATGGAACACCTTTAGGTTGGACTTGGAAGCTAAACAGATTGGTGCTTTCAAAATGTTATTCATTAACACTTGGGAAACGAGGAGGAAGTTTATGGCCATTCCACTGTTCAGCTTTTCTTTGCATGCTTTTGTGCTTGGTTTAATCAGAAGGTCACTGATATGCATCCTTATGGGCAGAGTGGCCTAAGTCCAAATTCTTGGTCTACTAATAAGCTGTCCTCTAAAAGTAATTTCTATGTGGGATAGTGGGAATGCCAAAAATACCACCAAGTGGTAATATCGTCAGCAAAAACTTTCTCTGTTGAATTGAGAGTCAAGGAAATAAAAATTGGACTTTTCCAGGGCTTCAAAGTCTCGTAAATTATGATTATAAGCAGTTCAATATCATGCAATTTGACCAGAATCTGTTGCCCAGGTTGGGTCATTTGTGAAGGAGTCAAATGGTGAGACAACCTTAAATGCAATGTTTTCTGCATCAAAATTGATTTTTTGTATCTGTCAGCTGGTTGAAATACAGGACAGAGGTCAAAGTGCAAGTCAACCTCCAAGGAAGTTTGACCATGAAATTGAAAGATGGTTGAATTGCAAGATTTTAAATTACAAGGTACCACCTGTATATGTATAAGATTGTCTGTGATCTTCCATATGTGCCAAGTTAAAAAAAAAATTTTACAATAAAGTCCTTGGCAGGAGGAGCAAAAAAGCAATAAGCCAATAACTGCCCAATAAGCCAAATGAATAAAACTGTCTTATTCCTTGCTGGGTAGGGACCAGAAAAATGACTTCTTCGTGATTGATTATTTTTTATGATTAGAATTTACTGTATTTTTTGCCCGTATACAGCATATTGTCTTTGTCCTGTGAAAGGGTTAACAGGCAACAGATGCAGAAAAAAGAACACCATTATGACTCTCACAGGTATGAGGAGTTGACGTCGGTTAACCAGTTTCCTTCTGCCTTGGAACCTCTGATGAGGCCTGAGGCGGACATTCCTGAATCTGAGGTCATCCTCCAGCATTTGCTCATCCTGCTGATGATCAGCTTCATCCTGCAGCAGCACCCGGTCACTGAGTCTCTGCGCATTCGCCACCACCACTGATGAGGCCTGAGGCGGACATTCCTGAATCTGAGGTCATCCTCCAGCATTTGCTCATCCTGCTGATGATCAGCTTGTAGGACGTCGTCGTGGGCCAGTGACTCAGAGACGCGTAAGCGGTGGTGGTCCCGAGCGTCGTTTCCTCTCGAGACGTCGTCAAACGAGGTGAGTCCTGGTAGGTCAAAGCTGAGAACGAGGGCTGACAAATCGTCTTCCATCACCAGATGGGCTTCGTTTTCCGGAAGTACGTCTTCCGGGTTGGCAACCCCGAGGGCTCTTTTGCCATGAGCACCGAAACAGGAGTGGCCAAACGCGGCGCATCCAGACTTCGCTGAAAATATGTGCAAAAAAACCAGGTCAAAATTCTTTTTTTTTTAAATTGCTGTAGAGCCTTCCATTATAACTCAAAACCTTCCAAAGATAAAAACCTTCCTATTAAAAAAAAAACAATTTCAAGCCACTGTCTGAATCCGATCAAAAATAGTTCAAGATCCCACCAAAGTCAAAGGCTTTCCCTCTCAAACCTCCTCCACAAAAGTGTGCTGGGGCTGTTTGGCATTTTTTTATCAATAACAAAGGAAAGAAAAAATCAATGAAAATTTAACTGGATGTGTTTTGAAAGGAAGTGCGGGAAGACAAAATGGGCAAATGAATCATTGCCTCCAAGTTCAGCCTCCTGCCAACTCATTAAAGAAGTAATTTAAGGACCAGAAAATCATCAATTAAAATTTCCGGTATTTATTCCTTCTTTTCTGAAAGGAAAAAGCTTCATTCCCCAACTCAAAACCTTATTGATAAATCAGATTTACTGCTGGTTTCTTGAAGTTTGACTTGAAGACGTTTGACATTCGCAGAAAACATTACAAATTTGATCAAACTTACAATATTGAAGCCTCATGAATGCATCATCTTTTTGGAACTCAGAAAATGTCTCTTCATGAGTGCCCCAGAGGGCTTTTCTGCGATGAGAAATGGCATAAGAAATTCAAATTCTGCTAGTCTGTCACGCGGAAAATTGAATCAATTGAAGGGATGACTCACGGAATTCCAAAAGATAGACAAATTTGGTATCAAAATATCCATGACGTTTAGCAAAAACAGCAGCAATTCGGAATCTATAACTCACCGATGTGCGCGATAATTTCTCAAAATTTTCTAACCAATGCTCTATATTTTCGAGTGAATACGCAAATGACGAGGAAAAAGTATACATTAAGATGAGGTGAGAGTCTTACAAGCCAAATATTGGCGAACTCCTGTTCTTCACTTTCCAGGTTTTTCAAAAGAATACTTTATTAGGGGTGGAGAGACTTTATTTAAAATCAAAGAGAAACATTCAAAAACCACCATCAAGAAATGCAAACAAGCTTGTCCTGACGATAACACAAGTTCTGGTTTCACGAGAACTTTTCCAGATTCCTCGGGATTTTTGTTGTTGTCATGGTGGCAAAAAATAGAAAGAAATCAATGAAGGTTATCATTTTTTTCTCTTTCAAGGATCTTAACCTTCAGAACTTGAAGATATGAAAGGAACCAGGATACAAATATCAATCACTGGAGAACGCGTTTATCGATTCAAATCTACGTTATTACCGGCCACTTCGACTTTTAAAATCTTCCATGTTTCCGAAAATATAATTCAAACATCCAATTCCTAAAAACTAAAAGAAGAAAGAACCCCCGAATATTAATGAACGACAACTCATCGTTCAAATGTTGACACTGAAACGCAATTTTTCGACCAATGGAATATTGTTCCATCATTCCCGAAAAAAATAGCACCACCCTGGCTGATTAATTTGTTCACCGTCACAAAGAGCAGTGCTGTAATCCTGAATAATTTATCAACAATAATGGATGACGATTCCTTGATCACTATTTACAATCGAATATAATTGCATCATGTAGAATAAAATGGGACTGACTGCAGCGAAGCCCCTTTACCCCTTTATTTCGCTCGTTTGCTCAACCCTGTGAGTCAATAAAAGTGTTACCGTCGACATGAACAGAACATGGTTTTTTTAAATGAACTGACAAGCTTAATATTCCTATCAAAATGAATTCGATTTTATTATTTTATGAAACACGGTTACATAGCGTGTGATGCAAGAATAATCAATCCTGTAAATTAAAATGGGTGTACTGTAGTCCAAATGTATACGTCATGATTGAGGAGAAACTTGCATCCGATTTTTAAAAAAAAGTTAGGGGGGGCTTTTGGCAGGGGGGCTTTTGACCTAGGCGGCTTTAGGCAGGGGGGGCTTTTGGTTGGGTACCGAAAANCGATTTTTAAAAAAAAGTTAGGGGGGGCTTTTGGCAGGGGGGCTTTTGACCTAGGCGGCTTTAGGCAGGGGGGGCTTTCCGGGGGGGGGGGCTTTTGACCTAGGAGGGGCTTTTGGCAGGGGGGGCTTTTGGTTGGGTACCGAAAACTATCGTTCTTCAGGAATATATAACGGCTTTGAATATTTTCATCATGGTATGAATTTCTACGCGAATCTCGGTTTTTACATTTGAAATTCAGCCACAAAAGGATCTTCAACTGCTAGCAAAAATATCCTGGAATTTGGCCACCATGCACAGGTCAATTAAAAGTGACACGTGAGTTACGTGACCTGCCATACTGTATACAGTATGTCTCTTGAATCACGGTACTTCATGGTTTGACATGCATAGAAAACAATTGATAAATGTCGAAGCTGCAACCTCTATGGTGAGGCCAGCATGGAAGGCAAGGACCCTTGGGTCACGCTGAGCGAAAATTCTCGCTCTGCGCTACAAGCAAGGACCCTTGGGTCACGCTGAG